ATTTAATTACATCATTCTTTTATTAAAATATCATTCTTTAACTACAATATTTATATGAATTTCAGGAGAGTCTTTCCCAGTCTATACCTCCAAACGAAGATATTGATTGCAGGAGAATACTCTCACGAGCATTAGATATTCGAGAGTATTCTGGTCGGATGAGGGGTAAGGGATTTGGGATCACTCCCACATTCTTGAAAAAAAACAAAGACAAAATCTCCAAGCAATAAAGAACTGCAGGAGAAGTTAGAAAAATTACAACAAGAAGTCTATGAGCTGAGAAAGGAAAAGGAAATCGATCAAGCTACAGGCTTTAAAGATACTAGTGACAGAGCTAGTATCAATGGTAACTTTGGATAAAATATTCCCGAGGTAATTATATACCATCTTTATAAATTATAAAACCATGTTTATTGACTATATAACCATGTTTATTAATTATATAACCATATTTATTAAATTATAGGGCATTTCCCGGTGTCAACTCTATTTGTCTACACCGACTTATCGGATGGTTGGCAAGGGAAAAGTATATAATATCTCGGGAGAAATGCTTCACCATAGACCCCTCTCAGAGGGATTTTTGAAAGTATCGGTCGACGTTGTTTTAGAAGGGGGTGCGTTGTTACCACTACCTGACAATGTGGAGGATGCAATATGATCGTTTGTTGCATGGCCATCAAGCCTCGTTTGCATAGATAATGAGGTATGCTTAAAATCGTTTACTATTCAAATTTTTATGGCAATTATACTTACATTTTTTTACATGGTAATGTTACACTACAAGAAAATTGGCAGATTGCGACAGGTATTTTTGTAGATTACGACGGTTAAAACCGCCGCAATTTGCTTTCCACGACGGTTGCTTTACCGTCGCAGAAGTGTGTGTCCCCAACCTATTTCGCGACGGTTACAAAAACTGTCGTTCAAGTTTACGACGGGTTGATACCGTCGTGACTATCTTTTGAGTTTCTTTTAATTATTGATGGCGACGGTTCGATACTGTCGTGAATATCTTTTGAAATTGATTAAATTGTTTATGGCGACGGTTCGATACCGTCATGACTTTTGTTGATTACGACGGTTCGGTACTGTCGCCATGACTTTTGTTTATGTCTTGATTTTTTTTTATTTTTCTATTATATATATTTTTTATTTAAATTATTATCTATGTAAAAAATTTTAAATATAGTTTTTTTTTGTGTTATTTTTTTCTTTAAATTATTTCTTCTTTAATATATTTATTTATAGTATTATTTTTTGTTTTATTTTCTATCACTTTGTAATATAGTAAAAGTAATTTCAATAAAAAATATTTAACATCAAATAAGCATTATAATATCCAAAAAAATGTGTGTTCCATAATCATGTAAAATGCGAGTTCCATAATCATGTCAATTAGTACAAAAAACCCAAAATATATCAATTCCTAATCTTATAATAATAAGTATCATTATGCCAAAAATACATGAGAAAGTTCACAATCTAATTATCTCGATCATAGCAAAGTCTAATTTGTCCCCCCTGAAGTTCCATTATCTCCAATACGATAGCTAGACTCAGATGAACGTCTACCATCAGCGGGTGATTCCAATCCCTAAAAAAAGGTATTAAAATAATAATCTTTAAAATAATACTCATAAAATTTAACTTTAAATGCGTCAAATTAATATACCTGTCTTCCATTGGAATAGAGTTAGCAGTACCTCATGTAAAGGAAGGTTCAACCCAAGTTCAGACGAAGTTGATCGCAAATTGGCAAATCGTCGTAAATCCCTTTCGACTATACATGGAAGGATATATCCATCTATTTCATGAACCAACAATCAGCATTTCAAACAACTTCCAAATTTTCATCCAAAAGGTAGCATATACCAATTCTTGACTAAGACTAATGACATGACTCGGAGCAAAAATTCTTGAGTTACAAGAATAAGCATTTGAAATTAGATAAAGTACCTGTTCTCTCTGAAGGCCATTCGAAGTATACAGCGCATATATGATGGAGCTTAGTACGTTGAAATGGATACTGAGAATGAGCCCTACTGAAATTTTTGCAAATTCTTATTTTAAGTGCGTATCTAATTAGTAACCAGATTCAGAACTATAGCAGATAAACTTTACCATTAACATATAGCTTTCGTAGGTTCTGATTAGTATATTCTAAATTCCAATCAATATTGAGTATAGTAAAGGAACTGGAAGCAATGAATTAAATAACATACTTTAGCACAAAGTCTGAATCAGCTGAGTGGCATTTTGGCTTCAAATAAGCATCAATCACTTGTAAAATGGTATCGTCCTTTCCTATATTATTTTTAGCTCCTGCATAAACAAAAAAGATAGAAAAAATGATTAAAAAAAGTTGCAAAATGGAACTAAAATGCAATATAGATATGACAAGGGTATATATACCTTTTCTTTTTTTCACCCATCCAAGTCCTTCAGAAGCAAATTTTTTTAGAACATCTTTCTCCCCAATTGATTTTACTATCTGACAAGCTAACTCCTACAATACAACCATGGAAACAATCATGCAAAAGCACAAGCAACCATATAATATGTAAATATTCAACCCTGCTAAACAACAAGAGGTGAAAAGGCAAAAAGTAATATGATCATGAAGGATGTGTTTAAGGACTTACCGAACCTAAACCATGAACTCCTTGATGATAGTCACTGCCGAGAAGCAAAGAGAGAGCAATCTGAAGATCATGGGTTACTCGGTTACTGATTTTCACCAGAACAAGAACTCAATACCCTTGAATTTTGAATTGACAAGAAACAACGAAAGATCGTCTAAGAAAGCATTGTGACTCTTATGTTAAAACATCAATCAGAAATTTACCAATGAATCCCGTCCCAATCCAAGTTTATTTTCAATCTCTGCCATCTCATAACATACAACATATCCACCATCTCCTAACTCATTAATAAAAAAAAATTCTTGTAAGTCATATGAAAGTACAAAAAAATCCTTAGAACTTATACGAAAAATACAATTAGCACAAAAATATATTCAACAATAATATTTAAAAACGAAACCAAATGATATACTCACCAAGGCAGATTTCCCTGTACACTGTCCTTGCACCAAAGAGAAATATATCTGAATCTGAACTGAAACATCCATCCTATAATTCTCAACAATGAATGACAACAATCATGATATTAGCAAACATCAATAGTACTAGTATCCCAAAAATAACTGATAATTACAAAGTAGACAAGTGCTTACGCATAATGATTCAGAGTTCAACAAAGCACACTGTGCTTCAGCTTCTTCAATCCTGCATTTTCGAAAAAGAGCAAGATGCTATCAGTTCAAATTGGTTCTTTAGCATCCATCAATGCAACTTGTTCAATCAACTTTCAAGAGGAATAAAAATTCGATAATATCATTTCTAAATAATATATGTTTAGTACCCTACATACAAATTTTAATTTTTTATTAGTCCATAAATAAATTTGAACATCAACAATTCCGGCAAAATATGATAGCATTCTTTAAAGCAAAACACCATCAAACTGTAACTTCTATTAAATATTACCCATTCAAACAAGAGACGCCGAGAGCCATCCCCAAGGCTTTAGCCTCTTTAATCATACATGAAAACTCAGACCCCAAATTTCAATTCCAACCTCTTCCTTTATTATTCTTTCCTTGTGTGTCCCTTCATCTTCTTCTTCTAATCATATCATCATGGACAAAAACAATTGTCGCAGACAAGTTGCTGCAATGAAACAGTCACTGTTTGATCAGGTATATATATAGAATGTTATTAGACTCTTGTAGTCTTGATTAATATTGATGGCTAGCTAGTTAGTTACCTAAGTAATAATGAAATATGCAGGGGCTTCTTGATGAACAATTTATCCAACTTGAAGAATTGCAAGATGATGCTAATCCTAATTTTGTTGAGGAAATTGTCACTCTCTACTACCGCGATTCATCTAGGCTTATCTCTAACTTGGAACAGACACTGTAAGTTTATAATAGTGTGTTAATTCCATCATAATTTTAAACTAAATTGGTGTCATTTTTGTGCATGTGGAAGGGAGATGAATCCATTGGATTTCAACAAACTGGACACAATCATGCACCAGTTTAAAGGAAACAGCTCAAGGTATATATCATCACCTCAGGTGTAAAGTATTTTAGTTGAACAATGATTTGAATAAAATAGTGATTTGTGCAGCATTGGGGCCAAAAAGGTGAAAGCAGAATCGACTCTAATTAGAGAATATTGCAGGACAGGAAATGCAGAAGGGTAATGAAACATGCATTAAATCTAAGTCATTTATTTATGGAATATGATTCCTAACAATGGTTGTTGTTGTAACATACTCAGGTGTAGGAAGAGCTATCAACAAATGAAGAAAGAATATGTAGCTTTGAGAAAGAAACTTGAAAATTATTAGGAGAGGAAAGGTCAGAACAGCGCCATAAGCACTCTATCTAAGTCTAATCCTCCTAAAAGCTATAAGTACAACCTACCGAGAACCAAAACAAACAACCACATTCACAAGAACCCTCCATATAATCCATTAATTCAACTGGAAGACTAAAAAGCAACACCCCACTTTCTTCCAGATCACTCTACGTCAAACAATATTACAGCAACAACATCACAACATGTCTCAAAAACTGCATCGCTACCAATATCACTGTGGCATTTACCAACAACTTCAACACCTGCTACTTAACTACAATTGAAACTCAAGTAACTTATTAACTATTGATTATATATCTATATCCAATGGCAACCATAAATACGAAGAACACACATTGTGTGGATTGCAATGTAACAAATAGCAATGGACTAGGGTTTTAAAAAGGTCTGCCACCTGCCACTGCAATTTCAATTGTGACAGCAAGGTTTTTGATATATGGACTGCAGTGTGCCTCAATTCATGACTATAACCGCAATGAAAAACCAAACTCAATAAATAAATAAATAAAAATTTGAAAAGTGAGGAAAAGATGATTACCGTGATAATCAACCAGCAGGATTAAGAGCCATCATCATGTTGTTTCCACCAGGAAGATAAGTAACATTAGGCGATTTCGCAAGCGTTCCAGCAACTTCCCTGGAAGCTTCAATCCTCCTAAGCTCAACCAACCCCATCCCAGCCGCAGCAGTAGCCTCGGAAATTAATATAGCAGCGTCACTCTCTCCTTCAGCTCGAATACCAAAAATAAGTGAATGCAACGGACATAATACCAATCATTATATCAGTTAACAACCCTACAACACATAAAATCGGTTCAGGAATACCATAAAAAATAGTCCACTCATTCAGAAAATTAAAAAAGGCCAATGCATAGCAAAACTGATTCAGTCAATCACATAGATTCAAGTCAATTTAAATATCCACTTCACAAACCTAATCCCTCACATAACAATTTCTAACAACTTTAAGCTAACAGTTATCCATTTCAATTGATATTCCTAACAGTCAGGCCCTAATAATATTGACGATTTTAACTCTTTTTCACACTAACAATTAGCTAACTCAAATTACAATCAGCAACTAACTCTCAGTTTCATTCAAATCTAAAGCCATCCCATCCTAATAGCCAACTATACACAACCTCTCTACAATATTCTACACAGCTTCGTCAACCTTCATCATCAATGGCATCATCGCGACTTCAAGCTTGAAGCATTCCCTCTATTTCAACACCAATCACAACAACAAACTTCAATAATTGAATTGTACCGAATCAATAGAAAATACGTGTGAATCTGAAATAATAGAAGAATGAGGAATTAAGAATGCATACCTGAATCACGATTGAAGCGTTGGCGGAGTGACTCCGACGTGTAAGTATTCTTTCTTCTCTCATCATTTTTGTGATGAACTCCACTAATAAAATTAACCTCATTGAAGAAATGATCCACCCATTGCGTCGAGTTAAAACTAAGCCTTTTAACAGCCACAGTATTACCATCTGACATAACTCCCTAAAATGAAAGGAAAAATCTATAAGCACTTAACAACAATAAGGTTGTAAGAAGTTACAATAAGATAAGATCAGAATATACTTTATAAATTGAACCTGATCCTCCCTGTCCTAGCTTATTGTCATCATTGAAGTAATTTGTTGCTTTTTCAAGAATTTCATATGGAACATTTAGCTTGGATTTATTCACTGTATCCAAAAGTGTCCCAAATTGTTTTCTCTCTAGTAAAAAAACACACACACATAGCAATAACTTTTAGCACAAGTATTTTGGAAAAAAGTAATTCCAGTCTTTAAATATTAAACATGTGTACCTCTTCTTTTCCTCATTACATTCTTTCTTATAAAGAAACCCATTGTTGCAGTAACCAAAAGAAGAGCCAAGACAGCAGAAGATGCAGCCAATATTATAGCCATTTTTCGGTGTCCTAAAACACAGTTTCAAGCTTCAATCATGTTCTTATCATAATACTGACCATGGTTATAAATTGCGGTCCGCAACGCAATTGCGGCTGTAATATTGCTAATGCAGTAGCTTCCACAACCGTATTGGACTGCAATTGCAGTGTGATTTAAAACCACGCGTCCGACTATATTATGAACCGCATCTAACAATGTCGCTCAAGTTTCTTCAAGTATTTTCACCAAAACTAAAAATTTCAAAACCTCACTATGTAATGAAAAATCTTAAGATTAAATGTTTTTGGTCTATTTCAAACCCCTCAATCAAAATTCACACTGCAACGACCACAATGCGCATTGCGGCAACCATGTCACAACACCCGCAACTGCATCAGCGATCGCAACCGAACTTTAAAACCATGATTCTGATATTTTAAACTACTTTACATTAACAAAAAATACAATGAACAAAAATTCAAGATTATGAACAAGTTCAAAATGGTAAGTTTGGCATAATCATGCTACTGTAATTTTGATGAAATCAATACTTCAAAGTTTCGACGAAATCAGATTACAACCGTGACTATGCACAATTCATGGCTAACCGAAAGAAAAAGAGATCATAGCTCACCGCGATTTCCAGCAGCAACATCATTACTACTTGAATTGTTATAGAACTTGTGTGGTGAATGCCTCAAATAACAACCAGAATTCAAAGCCCGTCCATCTTCTTTCTTCCTACACGAAGAACCAATCCTAGTAACCGCATCCTCCAAACATCTCCGACAGTTACCACCAGTAACAAACTTCCAACACTGAGCCAAACCATACACCGTTACATTCTTCCTCTCAACAAACCCAACAGAAAATCCACCGTTTTTTGGCGCCAACACACTCAAATTCCTCAGCAATTCATAAACATTCGCTTCATAAACATTACTACTTGTTTTAGTTTCATTATTTCCATACACGGTCGTGTCTTGATTACCAAAGACAAATGTGTGATCGCCACATCATCGAGAAGGATGTTAAAATCCCTAGCACGTCGGACAAGAGTCTCCTTAACAAGGGCAGAAACCTGAGGACGTTCAGTAAGGAGCTGATCAGCATTGAATTACGCCACAACAGATTTCAGAACTTCGTTACCGATCGAAGGGAGGACTTTCTCGTCGTATTCGAGACCGAGGTTTTGAACGATGACAGGGAGTTTCGCGGTGTCGGGACGAGAGAGGACTCGGAGAGTTAGGTTAACCATTTGAAGATCTTTGGTGCCGGATATTGATGAGAAAGTATGGGGGCGGGTTTTGATATCGAAGATGTAGGGTTTTTGAACCCATGGGATGAGGAAATGGGTTCCCTCGCCGATTGATTCGTCGAGGATGCCGCGGAAACAGAACTTGTTCAAGGAATTCCAATATACTGTTAAAGAAACATTCTAATCGATGTTTTATGAGCTTTTTAACTTTTTTACTGCGACAGGTGTTTTACCGTCGTGCCCATGAGAATTTTTAAAGGTTTTGGGTGCGACGGTTGTTTTACCGTCGTGAAATGAAATTTAGGACGGATAATTTTACCGTCGTGAAAGGTTTAAGGGTGCGACGGGTGCTTTACCGTCGTGATATGCCTTTTAGGACGGTTAATTTTACCGTCGTGACTAGTTGTTGGTGAAAAATCAATGTTAAAAGTGTTAAATGGGGGCCGACGGTTGTTTTACCGTCGTAATAATAATATTATGATGGTTAAATATACCGTCGCAAAATAAATATTAGGGACGGTTGGTGTCAACTGTCGTAAACACTGTCTCTATATGTCAATTACGACAGTTATCACATAACTGTCGCAATTTTTGTGTCGTTAAACACTAATTTTCTTGTAGTGTTAGACTACCACTAAATCCATTCCAAAAAATAAGGGGATTAGGTGGGATGCCGAGCCAATTGCATCATTTGAGGTAACACAATTATATGAAATTATGCTATGAGAAATGCTAATTTGTGATTTTATACTTTCCCTAACTAATTATATGATAACTAGATTCATGCTAAAGAGACTGCACAACTCAGTAGGGGTAAGGCGCCTGAAATTAGCAACATTTCGACACAAAAAAAGAATGTTGCTAAGAACACTGTGGCACACAAAAAAACTACTGCTCAGTTCAGGTCGTGCCTTCGAACATATTTAGGAATTACAGATATTCCAGATGGTGGTACCTGGCTTATATCTATGAGTGCAGATATCTTTGGTTTTGAATGTTTTGAAGGAATTGGTGGAGAGGACATGGAGCAAGTTTTTAGGCATTTGGAATTAGGTCTCGGTGTTATCGGTATATATATCAGGTATACTCCGATCAACTTTGTTTAATTAAATGAACAATTTAATCCCTCATTTCAATGAATATAGTATAATGTTAATCATGTTTTAATTTAAGGTTTATGTATGAAAACATTGTGCGTCTGCGTGGACTGGAAGCAAGATTTGGCTTCTTAGCTCCCACACTATCAATTCCGGGTTGATTGTAACGAGACCAGATGATGTCATATCATATGTACTACGTTTATTCGTGGCTAGTAAAGATACCGAGAAGTTGTTATTTTTGCCATATAATACTGGCAACGGGTTAGAATTTCATCCTAGCTTAATCTATTATAGTTTTCCATTTTGTCCATTGTTTAATCTTTGTTTAATCTTACAGTGGACACGGGCTATTGGTTGAGATTAATCCTATGAGAGAAACTGTGTATTATCTGGACTCGTTATACAATGATTGGTCAACATATCCAGATTTGAAACAGATGATTGACACGTAAGTGTTTCGCTCCCAAAGAGATATTCAAGTTTATGTTTATGTTTATGTTTATGTTTATGTTTATGTTTATGTTTATGGTCAACATATCTGGATTTATATTTATGTTTATGATTCTATAGTGTTCTACTTTCTTTTCGCTCCCAATGAGATATTCAAGTACCAAAAAGTAGAGCGAACAACGTTACATGGATCAGAGTGGAGGTATATTTTCACAAAGAGATGTTCAGTTTTGCTTACTTTAGTGATGATACTTGATAAAACAATTTAAGGGGTATATCCTGATATATATTCGTATTTTCTTTCCATGTGTAGTGTCCTCGCCAGCATAACCGTATATATTGTGGCTATTTTATGTTGAGGTTTATGAAAGAAACCATTCTTTTGGATCGATTAGAGATTCCATCCACGGTATGGATTTCTAACTTATGAATTACATACTATTTTTATAATTTGTGTTTCTCATAAAATGACATATTGTTTTAACTAAATCACATACTATGTTATATTATTATATATGTAGTACTTTGAGGAATTCAATTGTGCATATTACACAAAAGATCAATTAGATGAACTTATGGAGGAATGGTGTCAATTCATTATCGGGTTGAGAATTTTATAAGCTAAGGTATATTGTCTTATTTCCTTTGATGAGAACTTTCGAGTTTTGAGTATAAATTAAATTCGAATAAAGTGCAACTTAATATTATAATGTTATGAATTTTGATCATTTGATTTTTTTTCCAGGTATATAGGTACATATGTGTAGAAGATAGAGCTAAGATATTCATGTTGTTGTTGTTTCATGAGAATTCTCGAAGATAGAAAGATGTATAGATGTAAATTCAATTTTGAATATTTTAAGCATTTTACGTAGTATAATTTTAACTTGTATCATAAATTTTATAAATGTTGTTGTCTATATCTTGTATAGAATTTTAACTTGTATCATAACTTGTAAAAAGATGTATAAATGTTGTTGTTGTTGTTGTTGTTGTTGTTGTTGTTGTCTTTATTGGAATGAAGCTATCAAATATGGAGCAAAAAAGATAATTCTGAAAACCTGGATCAAAATATTGGAATGAAGCTACCAAATATTGGAATGAAGCTACCAAATATGATAAACATTCTGATTAAAATAGATAATTTATTAAAAAAAAATTGGAAACAATAGACAACGCTTTAGCAAAAAAGCGCTGTAAAAACTTTTAAAAAAAGCGCTGCCTAAAGTCTGAAAGCGCTGTCTAAAGTGGGGGAATAGACAGCGCTTTCAAAAGAAAGCGTTGTCTAAAGCCCAAGCGCTGTCTAAAGTGGACATAAGGCAGCACTTTTACATTGAAAAAAAGCGCTGTCTTTTCTTTTAGCAGCGCTGCTTTAGGTAGTGCTTTAAAGCGCTGTTAAAGGTAAAAAAAAGCGTTGTCTTTTCCCTTTTTTGTAGTAGTGAATTCCACCAAGGTTGAGGTCTTGAAGAGGATACTCATAAACAGCATCTCCAGAGCATCATCGACCAATTTGAATAAGTTGACTATCAAGTCTCCGAGGATAGACTATTAGAAGTGAATGGGACTCACCAACTAAACGCTCGGAGGAAAGCACTACAGATTCTAGTCGTAAGGAGATTGTTTGACAATGTTCTCAGATTCTCGTCTAGCATCGTCGTTCTAAAGGAATGACTAGATAGAGAGAGTTTTCTAGACCTTCTCGCAGAGGTTAAAAAAGTAGGTCTCTCAAGGAATGTCATCCACATTCGATCATCTCCATGGGTCCAATGGAAGCTGACCACCATGTCGAATCACCTATAGACATACCTTCGGCCCCCATTGATCACTTTAGGACGTTTTTATCCCACACTACTATAAAACGCGCATATAACAATGCTAAAGTCACCACGGTTCTTCCAAATATCGTGGTGACACTTCTAAACTCATGCGCTAACGTTTTTTATTTTTTAATTACAAAATTTAAGGGTATAATAATGGTTGATGAGAACAATATGGTGATACCATCAAGCTCTCATGGGTTCGAACCTCATCACTCTCAAATAATTTATTCATTTTGCGTTAATGTGCGTCTTTTCATTTTTTTATATTTAAATAAAAAATAATAGGGATATCACTGCGGTTATTTTGTAAAATTGTTGTTACACACTAGCTTCTTTATAAAATTTCATTATGCAAAAACTATATCATTACAGTTCACAATAATTACCATGATGATACATTTATATAACTAAACACCCAGTATCCGTTTTTCTACTAAAAAAGAAACAAGACAAAAATAACCCTAACACCAACGATGTCGTCGTCATCGGGAAGAAAGACAACAACACTGACACGGTATTCTCCTTTACGGTACGTAAAATATTTTTGGCATTGTTGTTGTTTAGTTTCGTTTCAATGTCGCATTTGAAGACGTACAAACTCATCCAAAGGTGTTTCTATGTCTTCTTCTTCGATAAAATCTCAATATAGAAATTTATGTAGTTGTGATTATCGTACGGTTTCGTACCAATGCAAGAAGGGACAAAATAAAATAAGGCTTTTTTGGAGATGTCCATTTTAGAGGAGTGATGAGACATGTAATTTATTCATATGGGATGAAGACATGGGAGAAAAAGGTGGAAATGAAGTCAGAGTTATGAAGTCAGAGTTGGAAGTTGTGGAAGCTATTGGCTATTTGAAGGTTATGTTTGAAGATTCAAAGAAGAAGAACAAGAATTTGAAGAGAAAACTAAAATTAGAGATATTTTCTGGAAATTTAAAGATTTTATATTTAGTTATCTCCTTTATGTTTAATGTTTACTTTGTTATAAAATATAATAGTTGAAGTAGGGTTTCAATTGCATTGTTGATGTTAAAACTGCACATGCAGTGAACTTGACGGGAATGCAACTATCAGACATTTTCTTATGAGTCAGTTCATCATAAACTGTTGAATTTTCAATTACAATTATCGTTCAAGTAGTTATTTGTTAGTAATTTTAGATTTTAAAAGATATGTGTATATTAATTGATCGATTTTGTAGCTGATAGTTTAAGTTGATAGTTTAAGTTGATAACCTTAAGAGAGTGAGAAAGCCCTATAGTTAATCAAAAAGATTAAAATTTCATTACATAAACTTTTATTACAGAAGACCTTCATAATTGTATCTAAAACCTCTGCCCCAAGAGAGAGTTTGACCAAGAAAACCATCTGCCTTTGCATCCTTCTTCTTCTTCTTGCCCTTCTCTGCCTGAGAGCTCTCTTGGGTCTCAACAGTTCTTGATTCTGAAGAGGCTGAACATCTTCAGCATTGTTAGAAGCTCTCTCAGCATTGTTGGAAGCTTCAGCAGAAGTACTCATTTTGGTTATTCTTCTTCTTTGAATTCTTTGGATGAAGTTCCTTTTGTGTTTTGGTTCAAAGATTAATTTTGATTTTATATTGATCTTTTGATTGTTCCTCTTCCCTGATCTTAGAAAGTCTAAAATCCAAATGATTTCACGCATGCCATGTTTTCTCCAACAAATTCCCAGTTACCCTTTCCGAATCAGAAACATAATATAAAGGTATGATTTATGTTTCCAAGTATTGTGACCAAGAGGAGGGAGATGACAATTAGTGGATGTTCTCATTCTTGAAATAAAAGAGGTATCACTCTCATAATCACTCGCTAGGTTAACAATAATATCACATATTATGAATCTTACTCGTATGATATGACAAAATATTTTTATGATAACATTTATGTGTATAATTACCTTTTTACCATCATGTTTATATTGGACCTATGGCATATATCGTGTCACCCTTATCTAATTCAATATTTGGTCGTTAAATATTTATCTTGTGACACAATATGGACTAATTCAGTCTAAGTCACTCATGTCTCTCAATATCATTTATAGAGTACACATCAAACATGTGTGTGGTCGTTCTATTACGAATAATGTTTGATCGATAATAAAGTATTTGACTGCATATTAAGTACCATAGTAGTTTCAGGTCAAAGGGAGGTATGCACCCTTATAACCATGAAAACAACTTATAACACTTTTATAACATTCTATATAGTATTCTCATGGAAGGCCAATTCAATATAAATATTACTCCTGATATTTAAACATATGTGAATATTTGATAATTCATTATTCATGATATATGAGACGTGATCATCCATATATCCACATAATAGTCTCAATCATTTAATGGTATCCCACTTCGCAATAAAGTTTGATTATAAATACTTTAAGAATAATGTTCTTTTATTTAATGAGATCTCACGATTAAGTCACACTTAATATTTTATCAAATAGGCTAGTATTCTAGATAATTTATAACTTTGAAACATAAACATAATAAAGAAATGACTTGTTATTATTAATAGATAATTCAAAGCAAATACTAAATTTTAATAAAACTATTGACATCTAGGACTTACATCAAATTGGTGGTTAAAATAGAATCACCATCGATTTTGGGCCAATGGAGAAAAATTGTGAAAATACGCCTCCAAATTCAGGGTCGGCCCTGACTTTTTAGAGGACCAAAACAAATAACTAAATGGACCCACAACAAAAAAAAATTAAATAATTAATAAAAAAATTGTTATAAATAATACTAATACTGCTAAGTTTTTAATATATATTATTATAAAATAAATATGATAATATATATTTTTACAAAAATATCACTAATAATTTAAATTAAGTTTGTCTACCACTTTCTCATTTTCTAAATATTAAAAGAGTGAAAATTGTTAGTAGTAATTATATAGAGATAAGTTTTTTAGTTGTTCTTAAGACTACATAAGAATTAATTTAAAATAACACTAATATCCATTTTTTTAAATATATTATTCTAAAATAGAATTTAATAATATATTTTTTTATAGAACAAGATCAACCCACTAATAATTATATGATATGTTTTAAGTTAAGAACTTAATAGTAAATAATTTAGTCATATAATAAAAATTTAAAAATTTAATTACAAAAAATAACTATTATAAAAAAATCTATATTAAATAAATAAATAAAGTTAATTTAACTAATATAAAAAACTATATTAAATAAATAAATTTAATGAAACTAATATTATATATAATAAAAAATAATGAACAAGAGAGATTTTATTTTATTAAAATAACTAATTAAAAGCAACAGAGATTTTATTTTATTATACTTGTCACATTTATTAATATCTTAAGAATGGTTTAGAGAAAGGAACCTTAACCTTAAATTTTATGTTTGATTTTGGAATATTTGAGCTTCCAAAGTAATTTGATCAACGTGTTTAGTATATAATAAAAGCAACATAAATTAAGGGTATATTACAATATGGTGGTCCTGAATCGGTATCTTAAGAAGAGTGGTTATCCAAATGGGTCAATCTATCTTATTAGACTAAACACTTTTTTAAATACAAACACTTGATTTTGTTTTTTTGCAACGTATCTTGAAAACTTATTTGATAGCTTAGTTTACAATAAAGGCTAATTTTACAACCAAGTTTTCTAAAGAAGTGACAGAGCTAGCATTCACAGATAATGAGACAATTATAGAGATAAAGAATTGGATAACACTTAGCCTTATCCATTTGATAGTTGGATCTATAGTAGTTCTATCCATTTTATTGAATTTATTGTTCTTACAATTGCTTTTGTTACTAAATAATGATTACATTTGTCTTTAGAATCTAGTTTAATTCTTGGTTAAGAATGTCTCTGTTTAGTTAGCATAATCTGTACCAGCTCAATAATTTTCCACGGACACGCAACCCTCTATTTCTTTTTGGCTTTTTAATCACTTTTTATTTTGGACAATTCTAGGGTTCTTTCTAAAATTGGGATAACTTGCATATTCTGGATAATTACCCTTGCAACCTCCACTTTGTAGTACAACAACATAACAATCAGCTTTCAACAAAAGTTATGAGGAAAAAAATTGTGCAGTATATACATTGCTTCTATAATGTGGTTCATCTTTTGAACGTCTTTCTTTTCTCAAAATAGCATTTTTAAAAAGAACATTGCATATATATAATTGAGATGACTTTTATTGGGCCTATGGAAAAACAACCCATGGTAAAAACAGGTCAAAGGAATTGCTAGAGTATCATACGGCCGCGCTCCTAAGTTGTTTGATCGGGCCAATGTCGCCCAAGTCGAGTCTATACATGCGTTTCATTCGTTTTGAAATTCTGGTATACATATCACATATGTACTAAGAGATGTCGAGACACTATAATCTGACTACAATACAATGAACAAATATAACACAATCAGTGCAGTAAGTAAACAAAACACGGAATTGTTAACTCAGTTCAGTGAAAACTCACCTACTATGGATGTTACCAAGCTAGGATGAAAATTCACTAAATAGTATCAATTCGGAGCTAAACTCACATGTTTACAACTTCTCATGTAATCATTACTCGTGTTATACTTCTACCTAAGACTCACCTAGGTATGAGACATCTCTCACTTTCCTGACCGTCACAAACAGTGACAGAACCACAACTCAAATGAATTAGAAAACAAACTTCACAAACACACAACACTCTATACTTAGAAGCTTAAGAGTGATTGACAAATCAAGAAGGAGACACCCTTCAACAAACATAATTCGCTTTTGCTAAGCAACTTATAAGTAATTCACAATAGTTACAACTCAACTAACAGTCCAACTCAAGTATTAAACAATAAAAGAGTGGCTCACAATTTACACAGTTCAACTCTACTATAGAGTGGATCACAGAACTGATAGAACACAAACCCTAGAGGCTAGATAAAATATACAATATGTTTCATACATACATTAGGTTTGAACCCTCTTATTTATAACAGTCTTCTGATTGGATTGGGCTTCAAAATCGCAGTTGACTTGTAGAAAATAAGGTTGCAGATATATCTCCTAAAACTTAGGATATCAATAACTAGTTTCCTAATTTATCTTCATAATTAGAAACTAACACAACTCCTTGATTTCAACTTGAATCTCTTGTTCCTTAACCTGAACGCCACATAGTGTATCATAATATTCCTAGAATATTCTGCATTTGTAATAATAAAAAAATTAATCCAACTTTCCAGCTGCACACTGGCGCGATGTCGAAGTATTCTTCATAGGACATCTGCATTCTACATGTTTCTTCAGATGATTAAACTTCTTAGTTTGACACCTATGATTTCTTAATCTTGGAATACACATGTAATGTCCTAATATTTCCAGGATATCCAGGATCTATAACCCACCTACAAACTCCACCTGTAACATACAATATGTCGAGTGATCAGAATAGGACATCTTGTTCAACATTATTTCTCTACGAGTTCGAACATCCTATTTAACATTTTACTACCTAATTTGTTTTACTAAAATTAATTCCAACCATAACCTAGAGAAATAACAATCTTCTCCTTTGAAATTTTTCGGCTAAAACAAATTAATAAATTACAATTCAAATTTCAATACATTCATCAAATAAATCTTTCAGCTTTAGTAGCAAAATTAAACATCAGAGATTTAGTCTTCCGAATCTTCTAAACACAACAACATAGAGAAGTAATATTACTCTCAATTAGGTGGATGTCAAGACATCATGTTCGACATCTCTTTACAACTCCATTGAAGCACATCAAACTCAACACCATAGAACAACAATCTCGAGATGACATAAGCAAAAAGTCCTAAAATCATTTGGTGTACACGAGGAAGAAGTTAGCTGACACTCTCCCTCAATCCAGAGACAAATCTTATTCTCAAGAGGCATGATATTCACGAGGATTTTCTTCACTATGTATAGTATTACTCATTCTTCACTATAACATTGCTCATTTAAAATAGACATGTGAATCTAAACACTAAAATTAAAATTATAGTTTCTTTGAAATATAAAAAAAAAAAGAATATTTAAGATAAATATTTTTAATTTTAAAGTAGTTATAGTCGAAAATATATTAACCTAACAATAACTTCTACATAAGTTCTTTTTTATTCTTATTAGGATGAACTATATATAAATTTTATAAATATTAGGTCAATACAAAAATAGAAGGCAAGTGGGCAACAAGTAGTGCCGTTACTCCTTTTTAGATCGCAAAACTAAACCTCTTAAAAACTACATTCATAGATCTAGGAGATACAACATTGTTATTCATAAGTTTTTAAACTCTCTGTAAAAGATCACCTGTTTCTAGTGCTAAGAAATCAAAAGTGTCAAAGGTAAATAGTATAAAAATATGTTGATTTTCAGAACACATTTTCTCATGTTTGACCACTTAACTGGAAGCAGTTTTGAGAGCTGCTTGTCCTAACAATTAATTCTTTCATAAATATATATTAATAAAGTGAATATACTTTAC